GATAATTTGGGCCCCTATATGTAATATTTAAATACCAGGCCCTTATATGTAATTATTTTTAGTCCGGGCCCTTATTTTCACTTTTCGGGTCCCTATATGTAAATTCCCCTATAATTTATTCTGATAAAAAAACATATCTGCAATTTATTTTTAAGGTATATGCTTATTATATAATACGTCTGTTTTTTGGTTGAGTTTTTATATTTAGTAACGCAAAAATGGCTGATGAGTTTGAATTCAATTCTGATTTAACTACTACGTACACTATAAAAATTAATTGGAGAGACGAAGTCAATAAGGTTAAGGATAAAATTAAGCATCAATTTAATATTACCACCAATAATTTTGAACTTTATCCGGAAAACCCTAGAGGTCATATACATTATATGCAACCAGGAAATAGGTTTCTTGAAAATTATACTCCTGATAATGTCGAAAATGCAGTTTTTATTATATATTTACCCGGAAATTAATTATTTTATTTGTATTTTTTTATTTATATTTTTCTTTATTATATAATAAAAATATTTTTTATTTGCATGTTGTTCCAGCAACAATTCTTTATTTAATAAAGAAGGGGTCCGGTGACCTCGCCGTTTTTTTATTTTAACGCGATTTTTTACAATGTAATTTGCGATTATTAATTAGTGAAGACTATTGAGTTAACTTTTTAATATATTAAAACCTTTATTAATCTAAGCCTTCTACTATCCAGCCTTAATTCCGCCTTTATCTGTCTTAGCAATTAGAGCAGATATTCGTGAAAAATTTATTATTAGTGTGGAGTCTGCTGTTATGGGAGGAATGAGTCTATTTACTCTAGAAAAAAATAAACGATCTTCGCTCCAGAATCTAATCCAAATGAACTATTCCATTGATAACTTGACTACGTTAATAGGAATAACTTGGGAGCAAGAAGAGATGAAAACTTAGAGGAATGACGTGCTTATGAAACTCCTCCATCATTCAAATTTAGCTCCTTCGAAGCATAGACCGGGTGCATTATATGATGCATTTACCAAGACTAGTGTTTTAGGGCCAGAACATATATTGGCTCTAGCGCGAGCATTTTGCTAAGGCGTATAAATAAATTGTTTATAGCCCTGGAATGGCAGTTTTATGACTATATATTTTTTTCGCTTATCATATATACCTGCAAAATTCAATTTTTTTTTATTAATGCATGCGAAAATATACAAATGTTCGGGACGTAGCCCGTGATACATGACGAAATTTCTATTCCTAAATTCTAATTCGCTTTCCCCTCAAGATCGGTTACCTTTGGTAACTCAACTGACCTTACTCTTTTTATTTCCCTCGATTCCTCCAAAGCTTTCACCGGCTTCTGCGCCTCTTCCAATAACCATAAAATATGACCAAGGACCTTTTCCGCCATGCCTTTCGTACCCTCACCATCATATGCAACAAATAAGGGTTTCGACAACTTAAATGATATGATTCCTTCACTGTCCTGCATACATTCCATGAAGTACCATTTCTCCGCATCTGTTACAATCCCCCATACTTTATCCAAACCACATTCATCATCTATTTCGTTTGCTTTGCGCTTATGGCCTAGTGAAGATTCCATCTGTACGGTGGCTTGAGCTAAGCCCTGCTTAAAATCATCTTTTTTGACCTCGATCAGGCCAACTGTTCTCCCAGTTGTACGTGATTCAATTCCAAAGTCAAGTTTCCCGCGTCCGTTTTTTCCTTCGACCATTTTTTCTGGTACTATTTTTATTTGGCTTTTAAATGGGAAAGTCGCTGAGGCAAGAAAAGAATATGAATAGATGCTTTTTGTGGCCTCGTAGGATACGTCAATATGGGTTGTCGCGACACGAGTCTCCAATTCATCAAAAAGCTTTCGCAATGCCTCTACATACCTCTCATCCTTTGTGTCCACACAACCACATTTAAAAACAGGATAAACATCAATATTAGGATTCGGATCATCACTAAGCCCGTAAAGCTGACACACTTTTGGGAACGACCAATCCGAGAAAGCTTTTGAGGGGGTCTCTATGATGACGGTAAACTTGAGATTATTCTTTGATACTAAAGACCGTAACATTTCTCGGAAGGAACCATCATTCCTGGGATAATATCTATCTCGATCATTCACAAAGTTTAGTACAGCTCCATCATTTTCAAGCGCCGGTGGATTGTAAAGTTCTCGAATATAATCTTTGAGATCATTGAGGGTTCCTTGCTCGATATTTACGGTCCACTTGTTTGCCTTCTGTTTTGGTCTAACGACGACATCAAACGCTATAATAAAACAACTAGTTAGTAAAATTTCAGCCGGCCCTGCCAAAAAAAATCTTGACCTAAAAATTTCACATTACATACCATGTGTGGACTTGTTGAGTAATGCCTGCAATGAAGCGACTTGGTCGAGTAATTTCTGTTCACGGCTCGAAATGGCGGTGGTCTCTGGTGGGGAGACTAAGACATGAATATGCTTCTTAGGAGGTGAAGTAGGCCAGTAGTCTCCTATATCATTTATTGCCAACAGCTCGTCACCGTCCTCAAGTGAAAGATCGTCAGAGATATTCAGTTTCCATAATTTAATGTCATTGGCGTCAACGTTAGCGAAAGTTTGTGGCTTTTTTGTCTTTATAGCCTCCTTTAGTTCACTAATAGGTTCGTCCTTGCTTATTTTAACAGAGAAAGCGTTCGCGGATTTATTTCCTTTAACAAGGCAGAATAAAGTGATAGCCATTTTTTCGGCTTATATGGGTCCTTTCACAGCAAATCGGGGCTTAGAGACGATTTTTTGATTTGCAAATATCAACGATTAATCAAATTTTGATTGTTGCGATAAATATAGATATTCATATATAAAATATATAGTTTAGAACGTATGCACATACATTATACGGATACGTATGCGTTATTGATATAATTTTCACTTTTAGTAATAGCGGTAGCGGTACGTAGCCGATTTAAAGCTAAAATTAGAGCAGAAAATCAGCGTATGTAAAATTACTGCGTATAGAACTGTACCAAATTATAGTATGTCAACATACGCGAAAATTTTTACTACGAATAACTCATGCACTTGTAAATACAATCCAATAAAAACATCAATTTCAGTTAGATCATCTCTAAACCCCGATTTGCTGTGAAAGGACCCATATAGTATTTTTGTGAAATGCTATTGGTGCGTATGTGAGGACAAGAGCAAAAAAGAATTTTATTTGCGAAAAAATACTGATATGTGAGAAATTTAACTGTCGCACAGTGTCCGTCGTGTGACCCCTTTATTTTGTATCACAAATGCGTGGTATGGTTTAGCCGATCACTACTCCGGACTGGCTCGATAGTCTTAGTTAATACATGTGATTTATAAAAAACATTGCCGGAATCCGGCCTAGAATACATAAAATTGCGACCGCTACATGATCCACTTTCTGATTCGCTAGAGCCCAGTATCCTCGGGATCTTTTTCCAACACTTCCGAATAAGACCGGATAAGGAGGGTTTTTTTTAAGTTATTCGATATCTTCCATGGAAAAATAATAAGTAAACTTATTGGGAGGCTCCATCAATTCCCCTTGTCTTTTTTCGGTAGTATTCACAGTATTGACCAAAGCACGATTGATTTGTTTGAATTTTCCTACATATAGATCGAAGTTTTTTTGATTTAAGTCTCGCCGGACATTTCTGATTTCGACTCCCAGATTTTCAACGGTTGTATTATTATCAATCACTATAGGGAAAATATCTTCCTCAGCCTCGCCACAAACAAAGCAGACGAGACGAATATTACTAGTAGTGGAAGACATCTTGTTTTTCTCATAGTGAGAAAAAACTCGCACCATACATACACAACTTCTAGCACATACATACCTTAAATTTTTTGCGGGAAAGTTGGTTGAACTTCCGCATACTCCTACATGCTTTATATCTTGCTGGGAAAAAGTTAAGGAGGTATGAGGCATGATTAGTATTGTCGTCTGATGCCAAGAGTTCCATGAAAGCACATGTAAAC